GCGATGCTCTGCCTCAGAGCCACACCAGTCCCTTTTGTAGCCACCACAACATGTGAAAATTAAACCATGCTCTGAGTTCAGGCTGAATAGTAATTGCTGATGATGGAAGCAAAAGTATTATTAGAGTAGGACAGCTCCTCTGTGAGCCCTGCTGCATCAGGCACCAGAGGGACACCCAACACACAACAATCCCCAGAGCCACGTGGAGGCACCAGAGGGACACCCAACACACAATTCCCAGAACCACGTGATGCAAACTCTACATATTTGTGTGATGATAAATTTCTTCCTGGCTTTTGCCTTGGAAAACTCCAACATATCCTAAAAGCTACTATAAAGCTCTCTAAGTTCTTGTTTGCCATCAGCCAGAAGGTGTGACCAGGTGACACAGCCATCACACCAGGACAACTTTAGGGTGTCAGTATGGTGAGCAGATATTTAAGGTAGAAAAGGGAAAATAAGTAAGCAAATAGAGATGGAATACTAATGACTCAAACCTTGTTTGGTTACACATCCTGAACCAATCTCAAGGATGAATGTCATGTGGAGAAGACGAAGTTCTCCTCTTTTTAGCATGTCCTGACAGCTACCTCCAGGACTCCCCTGTCCCTGAAGGTCCCACATTTAGCATTTAACTCTCTCCTAATTTGTCTAGAAACTAGGACCTAAGTCAGCTTTGTGTATCTCCCATCCTGGAGTTTGGGTTCACAACACCCAAGGTCCTCAGTTGGAGGTCAAGGTGCCACTAAAGATGCACAAAGGAACCTGGGATAGAACTTAGTTTTCCAGAAGGCCATAAATAAAGATGTCAGCATCTCTGAGGTGCTCTGGGCTGGCAGGGCTGCTGCTGCTGGGTGGGTATGACAATGACTGGAGTGAGATATGAGGGGAAGCAAAGTCAACTCTTTGGTGCTAAAATATAGCTTCAGAACTTCAATTTAGAAGTTCTGCCTTGGAAAGATGACAATTTCCCCCATATAAACACTTGTACTGTCCTTGAAAAAGAGGAGTTTTAAAAGTATTTGTAACTCCTCAAGAGGGCAAATAGATTTGTTGGTTTTAAAGGGACAGCCTGCCTACCTGTGCACATTCAGATTGCACAGCAGGACACACAACTGTTCTGAGAAAGCAGAAGGTTTCATACAGCCATCTGAGACACTGAGGTGCTCTGGGCTGGCAGGGCTGCTGCTGATGGGTGGGTATGGCAATGACTGGAGTGAGATATGAGGGGAAGGAAAGTCAACTCTTTGGTGCTAAAATATAGCTTCAGAACTTCAATTTAGAAGTTCTGCCTTGGAAAGATGACATTTCCCCCATATAAACACTTGTACTGTCCTTGAAAAAGAGGAGTTTTAAAAGTATTTTTAACTCCTCAAGAGGGCAAATAGATTTTTTTGGTTTTAAAGGGACAGCCTGCCCTGAGACACAGAAAATTTAGATCACACTCAAACAGTGAAAGGAAGAAAGTCAAAACAGTTGAAGAGCAGGAAAAAGCCCTGATATTTGGGGGGGGGGTGTCTCAGAGACACCAAGAAATGATTGAAATCTCGTAGCAACTTCAAACCAGTGAAGTCACAACTACCTACTGAGGAGGAATAGGATAGTACAGAAAAAACAGAATAGTCATCAAAGATCCTGTTTAACTTAGAAAGCAGAAAAAATAGCAATTAGGAGATTTAGCTGAGAGTGGCTGTAAAAGAGAAACAGCTACATTAGCATTACTTAATGTGATGAATGGAAAGAAAAAAATCCGTTTGGTGCTCCTGTTTACTATCAGACATGAAAGTTGCTCAGCACCATTAAAAACATGAAAAACCTGATTAAAAAAACCCCTTTACATCCAACACAGGCCCAGTCTAAAAAGCCCAGTGACACACTGTTTCCCCAGCCTCCTGTTTATGATCTCAGGATAGGGATCATCCTATTTATGCTCGCACAGTACAAAGTAACTATTATTTGTACAACAGCACCCAGTAATTAGGGAGCTAATGAACCAACATTTGAAATGCGTTAGGTACACTCATGAATAATCATCAACAGTTATAATAGAACAGACATGTATAAAGGAATTTCAGCTGGTAATGTTTTAAAGCATAAAACAACTGTTAGCTAAAGAGAGTTATGAAACTTGGCTGTAGGTCACACTAGAACAACCATCCATTATGGAAACCTCACTGAACGTCCCTGGAGGCAGCATACAAGTCTAGAGGGAGACTTGTAATCCATGCCCTAGAAAGGCATGGAGTGAGAAACACAGAAGGATGGATAGAAGATGAGTCCCACTTGGAGCAAAGGAGACAAAGGGCAAAATGTCCATCAGGTTTCTATTGCCAATTTTTCTGATTGATTTTTCATTGGAACGGTCAAAAGATGTCACAGCAATATGTGTGCCATTTGCCAGTAAATGTTAAGCATTTCCCACTGGAAAGAAGAGCTACCCCAAGTGACAGAGGAGGAACTGTGGTAAGCACATGCCATGCAGATGGATTTATTTGTACTTACATCTTGTCTTGGCCTGCACCCACTCTTAGTGTCAGCCGAGGAATAACCGGAGAGGGAGCTGGAACAACTGGTTCCACCTTTATCTGCACAAGGGAACACAACCATCAGGCAAAGACTGCAAGCAGACTCCCAAAATATATTAATTACATGAAAGCATTTATGGAGGTAATCAAACTTAATCAAGTTTAATGAGATAGACCTATGAGAGACTGATCACTGCTCTCCTGCTTCGTGCTGTGGCATGGACAGTCAGAGTTTGTTGGGAGGTCCCAGCCATAGCAAGTCATAAATATGAACTCTAGACTAAGAAATCAACTTGAAAATCCATTGCATTTGTATCTGCTCATACAGTTTGTTGACAAGTCTTCCTGATTTAGTGTTCTTCCAGAGACACAAGACTCCTCAGTAAGTTTCTAAACAATGACATGAAGTGCTTTGACCTTAGTACTCAAACTTCATAGGTGCCCAATGGTGTTTTTGCACTTTTCTTCTGAGATTTAAATTCAGGTATTGCCCAGGTTCATCACACAAATGTACTGTGACCCTCTTGAATGGAAATTAGACGCAGAGGAAGCAAATAAACCCCAAGCACCAACACTGAATACATCATGAAAGTGCTTATCCGCATAGGTACAACAACCACTCCTTTTTAATGCAATTAGGCTGAGGTTTCTACTGGCTGTTTTTTAGATGGCTTGGTCTCCAATCTCAGTATCTGGTGGAATTTAGAGCACTTAAGTATGTCCTTAAACTCTTTGAGTTAGTATCTGCCAAAATTATCAACTCTCATTGAGCTTCTGCTTTGCAAAACCTGTACACAATCAGGTCAGAACTTACAGCTGAGATTGTGATGACTCTCCACACAGAAGTTGTTCAACTTATATCTGTACCTAAGAGAAGTTTATATACATTATATATGTGTGTATAAAGAAAGAGAGGGAGACAATCTCATTCTGAGCACGTGTGTCATCATATTTAATAAAACAACCCCTAATCTGAATCTCAACCAGGAACTTCAAGAGACAAAAAAATGCATCCACTAAATGGAAACCTGAGCAACTCTCCGTGGGAGAATCAGTTTTAAAAAGCTTTCCAAAAGAAAGGGAGGGCAAACAATCAATTCAGAGCAGAGAAAGCAGCCCAGGAGACAGCAGGGCAGAGTGGGAGGACTCAGTTAGGACCTGCATTGAGGAGCAGTGATGACAAGGTCCCATGCCACACACCTTGCCCACAGAACCAGAGCTGCTCATGAGGAGATGTCTGCTCCAGAGAGAGAAGGGCCATGGCCTGAGGAATATTTCTGTTCTGACACAGCTGACTGTGCCTTTCAGTGGAGCTCTCCAGGGATATGTGCCATCCCACCTCACAGGCCTCTCTCCATGCTTTTGTTTCCATAGCATGATGTTTTGTTATGCCACTCCCTGGAGTGAGCTTGAGCTTTTTTCCTCCAGAGCTCCCAATGCCTGCAACAATTCCACTGCCACTTTGCACAGGTAAGTCTTGTTCTGACACAGCTGACTGTGCCTTTCAGTGGAGCTCTCCAGGGATATGTGCCATCCCACCTCACAGGCCTCTCTCCATGCTTTTGTTTCCATAGCATGATGTTTTGTTATGCCACTCCCTGGAGTGAGCTTGAGCTTTTTTCCTCCAGAGCTCCCAATGCCTGCAACAATTCCACTGCCACTTTGCACAGGTAAGTCTCTTTTCCAGCATCTTTACCTGTAGCATTGTCCATGGACAAAGACATTGAATTGAACCCTAGGTATGAGAGGGTCAGGCACATGGCTTTGCACAGGCTATTTTATTTTTTTAAGATTCTCCCCCTTCTGCAGTGCCTGTTTTGAATACAGAGCTTCCCAGGACAGGCACTGCTGCTCAGCTTCCAGCACACAGAGACACCCATGTCACCCATCCTTTGTATAAAGGTCCCTTGCACTGTTATTCATATACCACCAAGAGGTTCTAAACAAAGGTGCTGTGGGCTTATCCTTTGATGCAAGAGAGGAAGAGTCTGTCTGTAATGTGGGTTTGTGGGTAGAGTTTGCATCACTGAAGCAGAAAGAAAACTGGGAGTATTTGCACTTATAAGGTAGGATCACGGAATGGTTTGGGTTGGAAAGGACCTTTCAAGGTTATCTAGTCCAAACCTCCCTGCAGACAGAAGGGACATCTGCAACTAGAACAGGTTGCTCAGAGCCCCGGTGAACCTGACCTGAATGTTTCCAGGGATGGGGCCTCTGCCACCTCTCTGGGCAACCTGGGCCAGGGGCTCACCACCCTCACTGTAAGATACATTATCCTTCTAGTCTGAATCTCCTCTCAGTTTAAAATCATCACCTCTTGTCCTGTCACAACAGGTTCTTCTACACAGCCTGTCCCCATCTTTCTTCTAGGCATCCTTTAAGTAGTGGAAGGCCACAAGAAGGTCCCCTCAGAGCCTTCTCCTCTCAGGCTGCCCAAGCCCAACTCTCTCCTGCTGGGCTCCCAGCAGAGGGGTTCCCCCCTCGGGGCATTGCTGGGGCTCCTCTGGCCCCGCTCCAGCAGGTCCCTGGCTCTGCTGTGCTGAGGACTCCAGAGCTGCCCCAGCACTGCAGGGGGGTCTCACAGAGCTGGCAGAGGGGCAGGATCCCCTCCCTGCCCTGCTGCCCACGCTGCTGGGGGGGCAGCCCAGGCTGCTGGGGGCTCCTGGGCTGGGAGCGCACGGGGCTGGGTCACATCCAGCTCCTCATCCACCAGCATCCTCAAGTCTTTCTCCACAGGGCTGCTCTCCAGCCCTGCGTATCCTGGTTTTCCTCTGCATCACCAGGATTTTGACGCAGGAGCAAGGGCAGCTGACTCTGGTGCAGCTCTGGCAAGCCCTGCCCCAGTGCAGGGATGGCTCCGTTCCTCACGAAGCAGTACCTCAACTACTTTCCCTTGCAGCTCAGCGTATTAAGGCTGCTGAAACTGGGTCAGCAGCTGCTTCCTGAGCTGCTCAGTCACTCCTCCAGCACGCCTGGTAATCTCCATAGTAGAAGTGGGGTGTAACTGCTTCAGCTGTTTGCTTTGAATTTGGTACTGTACTCAAGGCAGCACCTCAGCTCCGTCTCCTTTTCTGGCTCCATGGGCAGCAGCCCCACACTTGCTGTGGAGCACGAAGCTGCTGGCAAGCCCTACATGGAAGCTCCTTTCCCTCAGTGCCACCACCAAACCCTTCCAGCATGCAGCCTTCAGCTTCTGCTCTCTGCAGCTCACACAGGGCACTGGTTGCTGTTCTGTGTCTTCCAGCAGGACAGGGCAAAATTAGAAGGAAAACTTGATAAACGGCTTCAATTCCCCAACAGAATGGGATGCACATGTGGGTAATAACTATAACAACACCCAAAAATGGAAACATTACTCTTTTGCTTAACTGTAGCAAGATTAGAAAGAGAAATCTGGTGTTTTCTGCTGGCCATGAGGAGCTGAAAGTGCAGTTAGCCCACGGAGGCATCTCTGAGGCTGAGCTTATGCCTCCGAAGCCGACGTGCTGTGGAAGGTTAAAGTGTCTGAGCAGTAACTTGATCATTTGCTCTCAGAGCACAACTGCTGGCTAAATACATAATTGTGTGATCTACAAGCTAAATTAAGGAAACATGTACTTTTAGGGGTTAAAACGAAAGAGCAGCATTCTGGAGTAATACTGGGAATTGGGGCCAGCAGAAGAGCATTTACAGTGGATTACTAAGCTTCCCAAATCACCAAAGAGGTAAAGTCCAGCAATATAAGACTCCTTTGTAGCTAACTAAAAATACATTGTCAGTGGATTTGTCCAGTTTTATGTATAAGCAATACTTCTTTCACCTGAACTAATACTAGTAGTCATATAAGCCCCTTATTGCCATGTGCTGCATTTTTTTTGCTAATCTTCAAGGATTTAGCTTCTTTGCCACATACCTCAGGGCACCAACTGATAAAGCTCTAACTCTCCATTTTTCCAGGACACCAGCAGTGCGGCCTTGCAAAAAATGAAAATCGCTCAAGAGATTTAAAGGGGAAATTTATTTTTAAAATCCTGACTTGCAGCAAAGAGGTGGATTTAAAAAAAGCTTATCTATCAAGAATCAGTTTAAATTTTAATTCTATCTAGGGACTCTTTCATGCATTCTAGCTTTAAAGTTTATCTTTCGACAGGGACTTTTTGCCAAGGTAATGGGCAGCTTTGTCAATTTAATTTGTCCAAGATTTTATTACTTTTGAGCTCCTTTTCCTAATATATATATCTCTCTATCTTCAGTCTCTACCAAAGTTTTACCAATTTGTGTTTGTCTATCTGTTATATAGCTCTAAAGCAAACTAGATACAGAGATTTGCAGAAGAAATGGAAAACTGATCATATGAAAACCAACCGACTTGTCATCTCTATTTTATATACAGAAATATTGAACTTAAGAAGAAATCTCTGCAGAAATCATCAATGAATTACTGACAGAACATCTCAGACACGAGGGGCGGACAGATAAAATGGGGAATCCATGACAGTGTTGCTGTAGTCTAAACCCAGATGTTCCATTAACATGGACAACTGGATGACCACCCTGTTTATCACCAGCTCACCCTCAGCAGCCAAATGTTCACATCACCCAGCTTCTGCACTGGAAAACCATTTGTCAGCTTCAAAACAGTGTCAAGTTTTGAAATCAGCAGATTGTTTTGAGTCCAGCAGGCAGCACAACAGGGTACAGTGGCAAAAAAAAGGCAAGTGAGGAATGTCCCAAATCTGAGCTTGCACGAACTGAGTATGACACTCGAAGCATCTTGGTAAAACCAGAACTTACACAGTGCTCCCTAATGCTAAGGACAGAGATTTAGGAAATCTGGTACCCAAGGTTATCACATATGAAGACAATCTCTTTCTTGCCTTCTTTCTTCTTCTTTTTTTTTTTTTTTTATATTAACAGTTTAATGCCCATTATAAGGTGAGGTGACAAAAAATTAGAGTAAACCCTGAATTACGGGAGCTGTTTCTAATGGGATTTCAAATCTGATAACATGCAAATATGCTGGTTTCATTTCTTAAATATTAAATATATTCTCGAGATTAGGTGATATTGGAAAGAAGAAATTATCTTTGGCTGATGAAAATCAGTAAGTATTGCAGTAATGGAAGAGGTTCAACCCACTCAAAAACTACTCTTCTCTCTCTCAGTCATAACACTCGTAATGAAAGGTGACATTTGAACATTTAGACCATCAGTTGAAAACAATTTTCTTACTTCAAATAAATTGGAACAACAAGGGGATGATTGTGTTAAGAGAGGATTCAGCAGCTCTTCTGAACATCTGAGGTAACTGAGGAACCTGTTTATCTGAAGGCAGTCTGCTCCTCATTTCTGTCCACCTGATGATTTACAGGCTTCTACAAGCTTTGAAACAGTAGATTTTTAGTTTCTAAGTTTATATGGAAGGTAGAGGGTTGCTGGCCCTACCAGTGGGCCAGAACTTGCACAATTTGGGTATGGCAACACTACCTCCATTTGTTCTGTGAGTGCTGTGCTTGGGCCTGAGCCCCCGATTTTCAAGGTGAAAAGTGAGTGGAGTGAAACCAGGAGAAAGAATTTCACATTTCAGATTCACAGAACTAAACTCCCATTGTTTTGTTTTCCAAAGAGGTGGCACAATCCCTGAAACTCTTGGGGGCACGTCTTCCTTGGAGCTGTTATTTAAAAAAAAAAATCCATCCTGTAATCATTTCTTCTGCAAATCTCTGTATCTAGTTTGCTTTAGAGCAGTGTAACAGGCACACAAACAAATATAAACTGGTAAAGCTTTGGTATAGACTGAACATACATATAAAATAAAAGGAGCTTAACAAATAAAAACCTGGACAAATTAAACTGAGCTCTTAAACAACACTCAGCAGCAAATGCAGGAATCCACGTGCATTTTCCAAGCAGGAACACCATCTGACCTGCAGAGCTTACCTTCTCGTGTTTGTGTTTCTCTTTTTCCTTCTCTTTCTTTTCTCTTTCTTTCCTCTCCTTTTCCTTCTCCTTCTTCTCCTTTTCTTTGTCCTTCTCCCTTTCTTTCTTTTTCTTCTTCTCCTTTTTGTCTTTCTTCTTCTCTTTTGGTTTCTCTTTGTCCTCAAACAGTTTTTCAGGAAGCATTGGAGACAAGGAAGGTAACATGCTGGGAAGCCTCATGGCAGTTGGTGTGCTGAACAAGGGCAGAGACATTTCTTTGGGAGGTAACACAAGAGGTGCTGATGGGGCCTTTATCTTATCTTCCTTACTCTTATCTTTAAGTTTCTCTTTGTCTTTCTTATCCTTGTCTTTTTTGCCTTTCTCTTTCTCTTTCTTTTTATCTTTATGTCTTTCTTTCTCTTTTTTGGTATTGCCATCTTTCAACTTTACTTTTGTGTCAGCATCCTCAAAGTCCTTTACTTTGAATTTATAGGGGTCGAGATCCTCGTCTTTGAGTAGTTCCTTCCACTGGAATTTTGCTTCCTTGCTTCCTTCCTTGTCTTTATCCTTCTCTTTGTTCTTTTCCTTCTCCTTGTTCTTCTCCTTGTTTTTCTCTTTATCTTTTTCCTTTTGTTTTTCTTTCTTCTTCATTTTTGTCTTCAGCTCCTTTTTCAACTTCTTTTTCACTTCTACCGATGAAGCCAACTTGGTTTTCTCCTCATAGACTTTGAGAAGAGGTTCTGGAGTTGGCGGTGAGGCGGAAGGAGAGGAGAAATAAGGGAAGTTGGTAGGTGGGTTAGAAGGTGTCCCCATGTTTGCCTTTCGAATGACCTCATCAATTGAGTCATCCATTGTCCATGAAATGTCTGAACTTGAAGTCCCACCCGAGGGAGGTATTGGAGTTGCTCCTGCCTTATTTGCATTATTGGCAGAAACGGAAGGTTTGGGGGTTGTAGTCTCTGAAATAGAAAGTCTTTTAGGACTGGTAAAAATTTCCCCTTCTGATTCAGACCCTGAGGAAAACTCAAAGGGATCTGGTTCTCGTTCTGCACAAGCACGGGCAATGACAGCATCGATGGAGTCATCAATGGTCTTGTCCATTACTGGTGCTTTCTTAGCCTGGTTTTCAACGCTTGGCTTGGTGGTGGCGGGCTCGGGTGGCGTCTGTCCTTGTTTGACTTGAATGTTTTCCTTTCCTATCATCTTGTCACTCAGTGCAGCCAGGGGGGTTCTACTTGGTGTTTCAGGCTTGGCAGGTGGTGGCTGGGGAATGTGAGTGGGAACCTTTGGACTTTTAGGACTTTTTGGGCTCTTGGCGCGACCCGGTGACTTTTTTTCTTTGGATCCAGTTTTTGGGGAACGTATGGGACTTCCAGTGACCGCAGGCGAGGGCGTAGTTTTAGGAGATTTTGTCTTCTGTCCTGGAGAACTTGTTTTGGACTTTGTTTTGGGGACAAAGGGCTTTGCTTCTAAAGTTTTGGGGGTTGGCACTTGCGATTTTGCAATGGGAGCCAACATTGGTGGTTCTGGTGAAGGAGGGGCTAAGTCTGTGCTGTCCTGAACGTGAACTGGAGAAAGCATTGGTGGTACTTTCTGAGTGTTTATTGAGCTAAGAGGCTCACGTGGTTCCAAAGCTCCATCCAAGCTGTCCCCTTTGGAAACAGCTAGTTTGGGCCGTTTCACAGGCAGAAATTCCTCAGCATCAGGACTTTCTAACGGTCTCTTGCTCAAGTAGTTCTCATCATTAATTGCCTCATCCTCTTCCATCTCTCCCTCCTCTTCCAGTGGCACCTGCATGGCTTCTGCAGACGTACCTCCATCGGTAGGTACCTGCTCCTCTTCCTCTTCTGTAACAAAGAATATTTTAAAAAGCATTAGGATCATTAGAAATGCATTTTACAGAAACAAACAGGCATCAGAGCAAATGGCCACATGCATCTCAGCCCATCTCACTGCAGTTGCTGGGATGACAATAACACAAACCTGTTTCATTCAATTGAAATGGAGAGAAGTTGAAGCACTTTTTGCTGTACTACAACAGACTGCAGAGCATACATGGAATCCACTGGAATTAGCTGTCCTGCCTGTGTATCACACAGTTTTGACTGCAGATTAACTACTGCAAGAAAGCTGGGGAGGGACTCTTTACAAGGGCTTGTAGCGATAAGACAAGGGGTAATGGCTTCAAATGGGAAGAGGGGTGACGTTGATTAGAAATTAGGAAGAAGTTCTTCACTGAGAGTGGTGAGACATTGGAACAGGTTTCCCAGGGAAGCTGTGGATGCTCCGAAGCTGTGGATGCTCCATCACTGGATGTGTTCAAGTTGGATGGGGCTTTGAGCAGCCTGGCCTAGTGGGAGGTGTCCCTGCCCATGGCAGAAAGGTTGGAACTAGATGATTTTTAAGGTCTCTTCCAACCCAAACCATTCTATGATTCTACAATACTAGGAAAATGTCTTCCTAAACATGTTTTGTTTTTCCTGAAGCAGGACAGTGTGAAGATTAAAGCAGAGGACTAAGCCCCACTCAGCCTGCCAGGCTCTGTCTCTGATACCATCTCAAGAGCTTGCTGCACACGGATGTTATCTGTGCTGAAGACACAGGAACACCCCAGCACTGCACGTGTGCCTGTTGGCTTGGATCAGGAGCACACCTCTGAAACTCATCTGCCCATCGTCCCAGCTCCCTGCTGTGTTTGCATCATGGAGCAATCCTGGAGTGTGTATGCTGGCCTCCTGCTGCAGTGGAACAAAATGAGGAGTGTGTTGCCAGAGGAACACATCTAACATGCTCCAGTTGCCAGTGGCCATTTAGGCTATGAGACCAAAAAAGCAGCTTTTGAAAGTAAGATAAACCCAAAACATGCACAGAGTGGACATCAGGCACCTACTGTTTCAAGGCAGCATGGACACGACCTGTGTGATTGCTCTGCTTTTTGGTTTTATAGCAATTATATTTTTCTTCCTACATTTAACACCATCTTCAGTCCTACAGAGGTGACATTATGGTGCAGAGAAAGGAGAAAATTCACTTGAGATCTCCCAGCAGGGCTGAGAAGAGAACTTCTGATCTCCCCAGCCACAGCCAAGCACTTTATCCTCTTGGATACACTTTCTCACTTTCAAAATGGAATTATCTGAGCAGGAAAAGGGATTCTTAGTCTGGAATAAGAACGTCCACGCCGGCGTTACCCTGACACATTTATATGTGCTGTAATTACATCATTACACCTATGCTGGTTAACATTCCTGTGCAGAAAATCTCCCTTCACTCTACCCCATGGCTTGTTTACCCACCTGCAAAAACTCATGACATTTTGTCTAGCAGGGGTTCTGCTGAAAGACATCAAATGCCCCAAGATTCTCACAGGAAATACATAGGAAAACACATTTATTATGACAACGGATAAACCCCGGCTTCTTAATGAGCAGGTGGTTTTAAAGAAGCAAACACTGAGAAACTTCTAACATTGAACCATTTACAGCTTTGTAAGACAGCACCATTCTGAAATATCTCTTTTCGAGGTGTTTATTTTCAGGTTTTCTCTGCTGGTGTTTCTCTACTGTAATGTGTCAATGCTCTGATTTAAGAGAGTTGAGTCAAGAGCCCTGGGCTGCAGCACAAATCTTGCCAGCATCACAAATTAAGTAAAATGAGCTAGCAACTCTGGCTTTTGCCAGGGCCCAGAGGATTTACAGCAGCCAGCCCAGAGAGGAGACTTTGCCTGAGGATAAAGTCTTAGCCTTCCGTGAAAAACAGAAATGTTAGGGAGTTAGGTTTTGCCTGGCTGGGCACTGACATTAAATTTTTTAAACTGCTAAGTTAGAGTATAACTGAGAAATCACTGTGGACTGAGCCTGCACCTGCTAAGGGGGAAAAAAAAAAAATCTGCTTCCAGATCATGGAAGTCATTTCAATCTCTCTTTAAGCTGCTGCAAAAATCAGCTGCCTTCATCTGCTCAAAACAGTTTAGGGGATGAAGCATTAGCATCCATCAGATGTCACAGAGCAACTCCCTTCCAACCCCATTCAACTTCGTTCACCACGGAGTTTTGTTTTCATTTAAAATTTTAAAGAGTGATAAAATTTGAAATAAACACCACACTTGAAAATGGGGATTTAGAGAAGTCTTCTGCCCCGGCTACAAGATAAGAAGTGTAGCTGAATTCAAGCATTAGGAAAGAGAAGGTTTGATCATGCAGACTTTAGATAAAGCAACACAAATCATTTAAATATAAAAAACACAGGGATAAAAAGAGTCAATGAAGTGGAGGAGAAAGGATTGCAACGAAGAGTAAAAATATTACATTTACTAGAAAAATCAGAACATTGATTTGCCAAAGGTTTCTGCCCAGTTTCTGCTTAACCAGCCACTCTGTTGGACCGTGCCTCACGGAAGCACACAGCAATATTTCATATTTTTGTAACTCCTTCCCATCCCAAGGTGCTTCTCATGTTTTACCTACTCAGGATTGCTGAACACCGACAGCTGCCGGATCAAAGGCGAAAAAACAATTTCAGAGGAGGCTGGGAGAACAGGGAGAGGAGTTTTTGTACAATAAAAAAAGAGAAATGCTTATTTTTTTTTTAATAAGGCCAAGTAAAGTTTGCAGCAGGCCCACGAAGTTTCTGTGATCTTGTGTGGAGATGCCCGGGAAGGGCAGAGAAGGTTAAAGTGCAGTTTGTAGAGGTGACATTAGAAATCGAGGTGTCTTGGCTCCAGCTTTCATGCACATTCCTGCAAGCCACAAAGACAACTTAGTAAGGAAGCAGAAGCATTTCCATCCCTTTTATACGGACTTGGATTCCCCAAAACATCTGGAAAAAATTGCCTGGGTCAGTCCTGAACAATCCAGGGACTAAGGAAGTTCACGAGCACTTAACTACTGACACACATTCACCACTTTTCAGACATGCTCAGATGACAATCTGGAATCCTATCGTGGTCAAATGAAACCCAAATTTCTCTTGGAACGAGGCCACGGGCTGATCCTCAGCAAGGACTGGTTTTCTGCCAGGCAGCAGCTTTCCAACCTGAGCCACCGCAGCTGTGGCCATGGCAGAAAACAATAAAGCAGGTTTGGTTTTTTTTTGGGGGGGGGAGGAGGTTTAATTAGAGAAAATAAAATCTCTGTCTTGCTTCAAGAGCTGCAGGCTCTTCCCTCCTGAAGGATTCACACGGGAGCAGGAACCAAATACGGGAAAACATCAGATTTTAAGGGTAATCTTGCTTGACTTGGTGATGAGTGTTTAAAACCGTGCGGCCACTTTTTCAGCTCTGTCCCTCTCGGTGGCTCCCCAGCACTTCTCGACACACAATCCTTTGTGCAGAGGATTGCTTTTTAACTCCCTTTACTGCCACCTCTCCCTATCTCCAGCCACCTTATTAATGATCCGGCTCTTGAGTTAGCATCTACAGGTCAAATGGGTATCACCTCGGCCATCTGCCCTAATAACTCTCCCCCGTAATGAAAGGCGACTGGAGCTCTTTGGGAGGTTTCTCAAGATAACAGATACATTATTTTTGGGGGGTTGTTGCTAGAGAAGTCAGTGCTGGATCAATATTAATGCTCGTATTACTGAAGCTATAGAGAGCCATTGTTTATTATGTCAGCCGGCCCCGTGTGCCGAGCCTGGGTTCAGATGAGCAGGTTCCAGGAGGGATGAGTTTGGTGCTTGCAGCCCCAAGGTTGGAGACCTTCTTGTGGCCTTTCAGGGGACAGATGGGGACAGACTTTTTAGCAGGCCCTGTTGCGACAGGACAGAAGGTGATGGTTGTAAACTAAAAGAGGGGAGATGCAAACTAGATATAAGAAAGAAGTTTTCTGCAATCAAGGTGATGAGCCCCTGGCCCAGGTTGCCCAGAGAGGTGGTTGCTGCCCCATCCCTGGAACCATTCCAGGTGAGGTTGGCTGGGGCTCTGAGCAACCTGCTCTAGTTGGGGATGTCCCTGCTCCCTGCAGGGGGGTTGGACTAGGTGACCTCTAGAGCTCTCTTCCAACCCAAACCATTCTATGATTCTGTGACTCCCATCTGACAAGCAACGATAATTTCACCTCACAGAGGCACTGCAAAAGCTGAACTTGATGAGTACACAGCTCCTTGGGAGCTCTGGATAGAAAGGATTAGAATCCCAAATGCAAGCTGTGGGTATCTGTCACCACTTCAAACTCTGAAAAATTTCTCAAGCTGAATGGTTCAGGCAAGAAACTGAAGCTTCTGCACCTCTTTAATGAAAAAACACTAAAGCATGAAATTTCTTTCTTTTTCATCATGTTCCTGTAGCACGGCACGGGCTCCAAAAGCAAAGGCTTACTGAATATACTGGACCAGGCTGCCCAAGAAAGTCGTGGAGTCCCCACCCCTGGAGGGATTTAACATGTGTGTAGATGTGGTGCTGAGGGACATGGGTTAGTGGTGACCTGGCAGTGCTGGGTTAGCAGTTGGACTCAGTGATCTTAAAGGTCTTTTCTAACCAAAATGATTCAATGATTCTACCTTCTTAATCTGGCCACAGTTCAGTTTCAGGACAGCAATACTCAACACTTCAGTAATAAACTTCCAAGTTCATGATGATAAGAGACTATTTACCCCTCAAAGTGACACAGGGGTACAAAGGCACAGAAATCCTGCCTGTACTGCTGAAACCATTGTGAAACCATCACCTGTACCATGCTGCCCTGCTCTTCAGAGGAGGCTGCAGACACTGCTCTTTCATCAACAGGTCAGATGAAAGTGAAAGCAGGAAAAAAACAGATACAAAACTCTTCTGATTGAAGAAAAAGGCACCTACACAGAGCTATTGCTCAAGCAAGAAGACCTATTCTATACATACATATATATACACACACATATAA